CTGTTGAGTCTAAGAGGTTTTTGTTTTCTTGTCTTTGATACCAAGCTGGACATCACTTAAATGTTTATAATTAGGCCTATTATTTTCACTAACTTCAATTTCACTAGAACTAGGCTGCATTTGTGCATCACTTGAGGTTTTTTGTGTGATGCATGTTTCTTCAGCCATCTATCCATATTGGAGAGGGGTTTTCTTAAAAATGAACAACTTAAAAAATTTTTAGTTAGTACAAACTAAGTCATAAACAATTCTCTCTCTTCTCAGAACAAACTGACGCTTCTAGCACCACCTCCTTCTAGAACTATCCTGTTCCTTCATGAATGCTCTAACGTTTACTAGATATGTGTTAGTCTTGTATATATAAAACGGTCACAAAGTGACGCTAACAATATATGTGTAATTGAACTGAGTATTGTCGAGCACGAGCACGTTCTTTGAGAATTATAGCGTTTGTTATAGAGAGACTGTTGAAATTAAGTGTATCGGTAAAGTTGTATTCGGAAAGAATAAACCAGTTTTATTTAAGAAAGGACTTGTGTCGCTAAAGTTTCGTCGGAACGAATTTACGGAAAATTAATTAATGAACGAACGGAGACGTAACAACTACTATTTATTGAAAATCTTTCTCTGTAATCATTCTGCCACATCAAAAATTTTGTCACATTATATCTCATACTGTCTTCACCTCAAACCCAAGAGACCGTGGAATTCAGAATCACGGCATCTCCCAGGTATGACATAAGTATTAGCACTGAGCCATTGATTCAGGGACTTGACAATCGGTATCGAAAGGATGTCTATCGCATGCAATCATCTCCCCCAATTTGTGAAACTTACTGGAACCATCTAAAAGGCAGTAACATCCCTGTATTGAGATAAAACGAGGGAGAGCCAAAGGACAGAACCATAACCACCCCACATACCACTTCTGAGACCCACAACACAGACAGAGGAAATTGAGGGAGGAAGATAGACAACCCGAAACATGTGGGAGGACTTATGTTGATTGGTTCTACTCTAAATCCAAAACCCAGCTGTGGGGTACCGACATTCATGCAGAGGTAGGATGAGGGCTCCCAATCAAAGGGGTCAACTGCATTTTAATGTATCTCTCCTTTGTAATTATATATCTCAAAGAGGAGGACAGCACGTCATCTACACCCGCACAATACTATCTTTGTGTGGAACCTATTCAAGAGAGTGCCTCCATGGCCAACCACCCCAGTGGCTTGAAACTAGAAAGTGGTAAGAACTCTCAAACTCCACTTTAAGAAAAGGGGGGTTAAAATGCTCTGGAGAGTCTGGAGGAATGTCATCACCTGAGACAGTGTAATGGGTGACCACAAACCCTACTTTGAAAAGCAGACCATACCAAGCTATTCACTACAGAAATGGGCAGCTATCCCCTTCTGCTTTACCCATGCAGTCCATGGGTGGTACAGTTCAGGATATACGTGTTTATGAAGAAAAAAAAAGGTGAGGTTATTCACCTAAAAGCAATCTTATGGAACACCTCATCTCAATGGTGAACAATGCTAAGCGATGGAATATAAAGCAGGAATCAACATGGCTGTACAGTGCAGATTTCAAATGAAAGAATACCTGGTCAGGCACCACTCGCCACAGAGCGGGATCCATATAAGGAGGAATGAGGAAAAAGGCCCTGAAAGGAAAGAAAGTATGAATAGAAACTTACCAGTCAGAGTTGCACAGAAGTCTGAAGAACAGTCAAAGTGTGGTCTGCAACCCGGTACCAATCCGTGAAAAAAAATGCCAGTCCACAGAAAACTAAAAAAATTAAATTAATTTCAACCCTTTCACTACCAACCGCCATTTTTAAACTTTCTCCAAGCCCTTATTGTATATTAAAGAAAAATGTAATTA